CTGTGCACACATTTTTAGCCGTACGATACATATTTTTGATAAGTGCCTTTTTATGTGTGAAGGATGAGAGGAGAGGCAGAGAAGTAGAATGTTTTTACTACTTGGCTTGCGATACCATTTTGTTAAATAGCCACTTTCTGAGAGCTTTATTTGGATGTTTAAGAATGGAAGCCAGTTCTCGGTAGGTTTTTCTCCTGTAAATTTTATATACTCTGACTGTCGGTTTAATAATTCAAAGCACTCATCCATCTGTTCTTGTGTGGAACAGACGATGAAGCAGTCGTCTATGTATCGACAGTACAGTAAGGGTCGGTGATNCTGTGCACACATTTTTAGCCGTACGATACATATTTTTGATAAGTGCCTTTTTATGTGTGAAGGATGAGAGGAGAGGCAGAGAAGTAGAATGTTTTTACTACTTGGCTTGCGATACCATTTTGTTAAATAGCCACTTTCTGAGAGCTTTATTTGGATGTTTAAGAATGGAAGCCAGTTCTCGGTAGGTTTTTCTCCTGTAAATTTTATATACTCTGACTGTCGGTTTAATAATTCAAAGCACTCATCCATCTGTTCTTGTGTGGAACAGACGATGAAGCAGTCGTCTATGTATCGACAGTACAGTAAGGGTCGGTGATCGAGAACTGGAGCTTCCACCTAAGACATGAAAGCGATGGCAAGGCTTGGTGCTAAACGCTGCCCCATCGCCAACCCTCTAATTTGTGCAAAATATTTTTCCAGACCACCTAAAGATTGAACAACTAAGACACTGTTTTAAGAGGGTCATTAGTTGTGCAATCGACAAGCCGTGCATTTTTATTTTCTTTTCATGCTCTACGAGCAACTCGATAATGGCTTGCATTGCGGAGTCATTGGACACGTTGGTATAAAGTGAACTAACATCGAATGACTCCATTATATGCGTGCTGTTTGGTTGCGCGCGCCTTAGGTGATCTAGAAATATTTTGGTGTTAGGTAGATGGTTGGAATGAATTTTAGCAGCTGGGTTAGGATAAGGTCGGCCAGTCTCGCACGTAACATCACGGTGAGTGGCCTTTCTGTTCAATATGGCGTCTATTTGAAAGTTTGATCTTCATTAATACTTTAACCTTCTTTTCCACCGAATAATAAAAAGTATTCTAACATAAAGTACGTCCAGGCTCTGAGGAAGGCGAAGTCGCCGAAACGTCAGCCATCGTTCAATAACATCAAAAACAACGACAACGACAACGACAACGAAGATCTGTACCAACCTCGCGTCAGCTTAAGAAGATTAGTTTATAAGATCACATAAATAAATATATCTGCTGCTATAATTTTAACTTATTACTTACTGCCTACTCTTTTTAACAGCAGGGTATATATTGCGAAATATAACTTTNGGTTAAGATTGTCTTAACTTCAATTTGCAGCTTATTCTTTTGTCATGGCAGGGCATGATGCGAAATGCAACTCTAAAGATGCTGAAATATGAGCAAATCTCGGGACCTCAGATGGCCATCGAACCGGAAATCACCTTCATAGAGGCTCCCGTGTTGTCCAACACGCCAGTGGAGGGCTTTGTTTACCTCTGAGCCGCTTTTTTTTCTTACGCTAGCGGTGTTATCATTGAACATCAGTCAACAGAGATGAGCTGGGAAATACAAATCGACATTGTGCGCGTATTAAGAGTAATGAGAGAATAACAAAGCAAGGGCCTCAGTTGACGTGGCTGATAGAAACGTGAGCCCCCGGTAAGGGTCGCTGCGTGCTCTAAACCCGCTTGAGATTCCAAGTTTTGCTCATATCCCAGCATCTCTGCTGCTATAATTTTAACTTATTACTTACTGCCTACTCTTTTTAACAGCAGGGTATATATTGCGAAATATAACTTTAATGATGCTGAAATATTTGCAAAACTCCTGCCCGCAGTTGTCACTCACGCACTATTGTCCTTTCCGGCGAGCAACGCGTTCTACTGTTATAGTTCATGCTGCGTAGTTACATTCATAGAATCCCACACTTCAAAACTCATTTGGCTTCTTAACTTTTTATATCTTACCCGGTTAACTTTCTGCTCTTCCTAATTTCTCTAATATTAAATTACGAGCTCTAAGGATGGTTTTTGTCAGCTTTCTCCTTATAACGAACATACGAATTTTTGAATAGTTTATGTGATGGATCTCGGCCTTTGTGGAAGGTATGGAAACTATAAGTAGAGCTCTGGTGCCTTCATGATGAAGGACCTAATCGAAACAATGAGCTCGAGTGTAATGCCGATGGTAAGGTTACCAGCTGCCATACTTGACGACATCTGGAGATGTCGACAACGGTTGCTAGAAAAGGCAGTCTTGGGTCATCGTTTTTAATTCTTCTCCCATCTCCCAGGGGCTAAAATGTGTTGTTTTCGAATGCGGCTTTATTAATGTGAAAACTAAGTTGATCTAAATTCAACTGGTACAGCTGAACAATTGAACCTTATCAACAGTAGTAGAGACACTTTCCAAATTGACGTGATCACTGCTCAATGCTAGATAACTTGAGAATCTCAGTGACTCGCGTCCCACAATCAGCAATCATTCATTCTCTCTGTTGCGTATAAGGAAACATCACCACTTAATGCCATCACGCTGGACTAGAACGTGTTTTTCCTATTCCAATCGAATTGCATCGATGTGTTGTCGCTTGCTTATCCAATCCATCCGGTCAGTAGTATCCCTTCTACTAATATTCTGTTTGGTGGAAACCGTCGATCCACCATTTCTGTTTCCACATGGATATTTCGATAGCGCCAAGTTGAAACCGTTTGACGCTATCTATCTGAATATGATGGCACAGTCAAATCTTGAATACGGTGGAATAACACTAGAGGTACCAATGCATCCGTTTCTAAAGAAATATTCATAGAAATTTTATCTCTCAGTCTGTTGCCAGATTTATCACATGTTTTGTACAGATTTTTTCAACTCTTCTAAGAGTTGTTTACCAGGACTGGTACTGAAAAAGGAGAATTTTTGAAAAGTTTAAAGTTCATTTACACAATGCAATATTCTTCCCAAATTTTCTACATATGGTCCTTATTGAATGTGAATTAGATTTAAGTTGTTGGTTTTTATGAAGTTTGGGGAGGTGATGTGAATTTAGTACGGAGATTGTTTTGATTTCTTTGAAAATCTCCTTTCAACTGATGAAGCGATGTTTCACATTGGTGGGTTTATGAGCTATCACAATGCCTCTACTGAGTGAGATAAGGCTCTCGTACTTTTTTACACGACTCGTCTTTCATGTCTACTTTGAGGATCCCAGCACTTTTCCCATTCGGTTCGTTTGTTCCCATCAATCATCCACGAAAGTGTTCCAACTTTTACATTTGGCTTCGACTGCTGTTTGAGGAATTTGCTTTACTCATCGATGTCGGTGAATACCGGTTGAGTCGATTTTCTCTGGAGTCGTGAGATAGCCGGGCTAGAGCGTTCCCACTTGCATTTCAGAAGGTGAATTTTTCCCTGCCAAGTCAGTCCAATAGCAACTTCCTGGCCTCAGAGGTATGAGCGGCTTGGCGAGCCTGGAGCGAGATCGATCCAGCACCATGTTGGTGATGGTCGGCATCACCATCACCTGTACTAGTTGCCTCTTCCTTGTAATATATCTTAAGAAATGTAGAATGTGCCCAAGCTAACAATTTACTATGGAATGGCTTCGAAGAAGATTGTGGGTCTCTTCATCGGTTGCTATACCGTAAATGCCGGAATGTAAATTGCCATGCTACGAGATCAAATCTACATAATCATTACCAGTATTCGGACGAATAAATGGATGAGTGCCCACCTGCTTGTGAGATCGATGGGTCATCGTGGTTCGCATGAGTGGTCAGTCAAAGTACCTGGTTTGACACTTTGGGACTTTTCCTTTTGGTTTAAATAGAGGAAACTCTCAGCCGTGTTTTATAGACCAGCATCGTGTGGTGCTGAACACGTTAACCCCCGTAAAGGGTAATAGGTTCGATGTGACTAGATCAAATAGCAGCCAAACGCATATGGATATTCAACGAGGTTTGTGGTATATAGATGACAGAGAACGAATCGAATAGAAGGAGCGCATGGATCTACGCAATGTGTGATGTCGGATCATGTATGAGGCAAAAATTGCTTTCCTCGCCTTTTGCACCGCGCAATGTATAGATGGTCTGTTGAACAAATATAAAAATTTAAGGAAAAAAGTCAGTAGTGAAAAATAAATCGGAAGAAAAAGAGCGAAATGACACCGATGCTTCTCGTCTGTTGTGTACCAAATAAAGGGTTTTAATGCTCATCAATGTTGAAAAAGTAGAGACATAATGTCTTCCGACATCACTACACTTTGTAATCCATATTTTTTTCTCATGAAATGTTTATCAAAAGAAAAAGCATTTCAGGATCTTGATAAATTGCGCACATCACGAAAACTTGTGCCTCGTCCACCGAACCTACCTCGTGATCGGGAAGAAGATGACGCACTTCTTGATCGGCTCCCACCGGATATCGGTCAGTTCATTGGAGAGAGCTTTATTAAGAACCGATTGATCAGGCTAGAACACTCGAAATTTCCAGTGTGATGTGGTGGTAAAAGTTCACATACTTTTCCTCCTTCCAAATATCCAGTTTTTTTGTCTCGTTGATCTAGAGCGGAAAATCGGGGGGAATCAAATGAATCCCAAGAATTTTTCGAACCTCACCTTTAAAACAGATAAACTCGTCGTTTAAATATGAAAGAATCATTGAAATGTGAAATGTCTTCATATAGGACTAATCTGTCTCGTTATCTGGTTAGTTGAGTAGCCTAAGCGCACCATTCGTGCGGGCCGCAGAATGATTTCCAACCGAACGCTATTTTCTTTTAATGGAGAAATTCGGTTTAGTCCTACCTGGCAACCCGTGATAGACGCGCTCGCACATGACTAACTCAAAAATCGTCACTGGATCTACCTTAGGGCACGCATAGAGGTTTGGTGCTTCTTGGTTGAGCTATCCAAGTGTTGAAATGGTGAACTCTTTCTGAGGTCTGTTGATCCTAGCAAAGTATGAACTGCTCCGCATAACAGCTTGTCACGAGGTGAAATCACTTTGCTACTTTTAAGATCTATTCATAGTATCAGCTAATTAAGAAAATCAATTCTTGCTACTAAGAGTTGCGTTTAATTATGTTCTTCTGCTAGTCCCTTTACAACTTTGCTATCTCTCCAAGTGAATATCATTTTATTCGACGTATATGTCCATATTCCACAGGGTTTTCAGTATAGAGAGAAAATAGTAAAGAAAATCTGTCTTTTTATCTAAAATTCACCGACAGACTTAATTTTGCCTTCACTAATAGAACAAGAAAAGCCTATTTCTTGGAGAAATCATAAGTTTTCAGAAATTTCACCGTTTCTGGGTTTTATAGCCTTTTCTAAGCCTTGGGATCTCAAAAACAACGCTGTCTTCGCTATCGAGCGATTTTCTCGTATCACATGGCTCTTCAATTTTTCCAGTTCATTCATTCTCTCCTCGTTTTGATGTGGTTTTAAAGAACGGCTAGTTTTTATCACATGGAAATTAACTAAGAGATGCTTTCGTTTGGTTCACATGTCGTTCTCACTTTATATTACGAAATTATCTATCCAATGTCCAGTAGGTAAACTTAATTAAATATGTTGAAAAAATGTCATGCCATGAAAAATTGTGATAGGCAGTAAATAAAAAGTTAACATTGTGATTTCAACTACAGCTTCAGCTTAACCGGGTTCATTGCCGATTTGGACTCCCTACATTAATCCCATTGATGGGTGATTGCTGATGGCGCTGATCGATAGAACTAGCTGAGAGACAGGCGAAACGAATGACCCGCATGGTGTGGTGGTGAACGCGTTGGCCCCTCGAAAAGATAATAGCGCGCTCGTTCTCCACCGTAGACACCTGCCGTCCGCAGTTTTGCAAATATCTCAGCACCATTGTGGTGTTTCACACGTAGTACCTTACCATGGAAATTTGTAGTAGGCAGTAAACGAAAAGTTAACATTTAGTTACGTTGAATATTGTTAATATTGCACCGTTGTTTCAAACAAGGCTGTTTTCGTGTCAGCTTGTCAGACTTGTGTAATAAATAATGGACATAACTTCTGTGTTTCACGGAATCTGTTGTGACGAAATAGTAATTTTCAGAAGGAGCCGTTCCAAAATTACAAAGGAAGAAATCGGCGGAATTACTGGCTGAAAGACCTCATTCTCCTCTATTGGCCGTCTCTCCTGATACTGTCCCGTCGTCTTCTGAAGGTGAAGCTACTTTGCACTCTACCTTTCACCACTTACAATGTCGACAGTATCCATGTTTTTGTTGCAGAAATCGATCCCTTGTTAAAGGTCTCGAACACGATGATAAAGAAGAGGTATGAGTCGTAAAGCGGGGTTTAAACTTCGGTTCTATACACTGACTGTATTAAGAGAACAATGCTCTGGATATGAGACAAACATTCATAAACACAAATTAAATAAGTGGTTATATTAATCAGTTCGAAATCTGTAGGGAAAATTCTGTGGAGTTAAAATATCTGATCTTGAGATGTGTGGGGGCTCGTGTGGCGCAGTGGTCGGAGGTGCCCTGCAACACACATGTGGAATCGATTCCCGCGCTCGTGGCCCACCAAGCCTTCTATCCCTCCGCGTTCACAAAATTGGCACCAAACTTGTCTTGGAGGATAGCAGCATTAGCTCTATACATCGGTAGGCCACAGTGAGTCGTTGTAAATGCCCGATATGCATTCTATCACCTCCAAGCGATGCTTGAAGAAGTCGAATGCATGGTGCACCCCTCAGGGATTGACCAACGCCGAGTGCTTTATCCTTTATCCTTTATCTGGAGATGAGTAGCTGCCTGGTATGTTAGGAGAATTATGGAGATAGAATTCTCATCACTTCCAGGGCTACGGTATTTTTCCCGCTCCCCGAAAAACTTCCCTGAAGTAGCACTCTGCCGTTGTAGAACTTTATTTATTTTAAAATTGTGTTTCTACGTGCTATACTCTTATTTGAACAGGATTTTCTAGAGCCGCAGACAATGACAATCCTTTCGATGTTATCGCCACACGTGCTCCAGCCAGGTACGATTTGAATTTGAATAACAAGTATTTCTCTCATAATCTTATGTAATAAATTTGTTTGTTATGAAAATATCAAGAAAACTACAGGCAACTTTCTAATCGTATGAGGCGAACTCATCGCAAGCGTCGTAGACCTAAATTCCTATCCAGAAGCGATATCTACGATCCACGACGGTTTGTTCAGCAAAAACACTTTTGTTAGATAAAGTAACTCCATGATGTGATCTTATAAACGGTCGATATCACAGCTAAGCAAATGTATTTATAGACATCGCACGCAAAAAATTTCTCGAGAAGAAAGGAAAAAGATTCGGGAAGAGCTGTTAATTAGGCCGGGATTCAACGAATTGAAGCACGGCATTATTTCCAACTCCAGTAAACATGAAGGTAGAAAGACAGTTGTTATAGATTGATGGGAAACTAATTTTCGCATTCTAGCCGTCGTTCTCTCCGATTTCTTGGCTCTTCTAGCCATAGTACTGAATTTGACACCCTGATGTGCTGAATTTATTGCATGATCCCAGATAAAGGACAAAGAATAAAGCTTTCGGCGTTGATCAATCTCTGAGGGATGCGCCATGCATTCTACATCATTAAGCATCCATCGTTTGGAGGTGATGGAATGTAAATTTGGCCTCTACAATGACTCGCGGAGGCCTACCGATGTATCGAGCTAGTGCTGCTATGGTCCCAAACAAGTCTGGTACCAATTTGACGATCCCGAAAGGATGGAAGGCTTGGTGAGCCACGGTCGCGGGGATCTATCCTGTGTGTGTGATCTCTCCGAGAATCTATCATAAGTCGTTACAAACCATACTTTGCTTCTTTGTTTCTTTTCTTTTTGTTTATTTCATTCGCCTAACTATTTTAAACTGCTTTTACGAGAGTTACAATAGTTTTTCCAGATGCTTTGGATATGTTGGATATTTTTTCTGATAGGATGGAATAATTTTCTTTTTTCTATCACTTCGAATCAAACTAATAACGCAGTAGCTCGAACGGACATCACTAGTTCCTCCGTGTATTTTCACTATGGCAGTCCCTGGGCTGATAAGGCAGACATGAAGAGCGTCGCAATTTTCGGATGACTGCCTTCTCTTATCTTCTTTACGCTTCTACTATTCGCATTTAACCGCCGTATACATTGCTTACGGTCACAGATGACTTGATGAGCTCTCTTAGTGTAGGTATATTGTTTGCAGGAGACGATCTTTAACCGCTTCCCCATACACCCGCCATTCACTATAACGACAACTCCAGCGATAGAACGGTCCCGTTTATCCTACCCTTCATCTCAAATGATATAAGTACAGCTATAAAACGCTGCTTGAGAAGGGCGGGCTTAGAGAATTCGGTAAGCGTAGTTGAAATACCACCGAGTAATCTTAAGCGCCAGCTAGTTCGTAACCGCCTATATGACCGTCTATGTGCAACTCAAAATTGCATAATTTGCCCCAGTGGTAGAGACGGTGATTGCATGAGCTCGGGTATAGTTTATCTGATCTCCTGTAAGACGTGCGGTGACGAATACATTGGCGAAACGGGTAGACCCCTCTGTGTCCGCATAAAAGAACACCTAGCCGGCAAACATAGACCAAATACCCCGCTAGGCACGCATAGGACCCAGAGACATAACGGAGACGACTTCGAAGTATGTGTCACGATCCTCGCATACGAATCAAGAACACAGGCGCGCAAAACTCTCGAGGCATTCTGGATTAATTCCAGAAATCCAAAAATGAACCGCAGGGAAGAATGAATTCTGTGCGGTTGGTCTTTACGCGACATACTCAGTGGAAGCCCCATAGAAAGCGGTGAGTGTGCAAAGCTGTGTTCAACGTGATTGAAATCTTGGTTTAGAGTTTCTTTGTTTGGTTATGGAGGCGTCTGGCCGAGTAGGTTGCTGTCAACTTGACCTTTCCAGGCTCTGAGGAAGGCGAAATCCGCCGAAACGTTAGCTTATTCGTAAATAAAGAACAATAACACGTCGCGTTTGCTCAACAAAAATACGAAGAACTATAATATGGGTTTTTCGTTGTCGCTCCAGTTCTATCTTATGACGAAAACTCACAATTCTATTGAATACTGCTGTAGGGAAATTTAATTTTCAATTTGTCCTACTTCAAGAGTTCACTAGAGAGAACTACGTAGTAGAGCAGAAGTCACCGCCTAAAAAGTAAACACTTACTGATGTGGATAGAGTACCTGATTGATTGAAGCAGGGGTGGTTCCAAATTTTAGGGCAACGAATACATCATTCGGAAGCCAAATTGTGTCGAAAATGACCAGTTGCAGGAAGCAAACAGTCGCAGAAAATCGTTCGACTATGGTTGATTCATCTTCAATAGTTTTCAAGGATTTGAGACTTTGGGAAAAGGCAGAAATGTACCGCATCACCTCGTTCGTGCACAAATTGTGTCGCCATTTTTGTCTTCTCGAGTCATTTTTCAGAACGGGTGCTATTTATTCACTATTTGCTATTCTTACATGACTCAATTTCATTTGTGATGCCTTGTTAATCCCAGCACTTCTTGTGTTCGATCAGGTTCTTTGCATGCACCATCCACGAGGGTCTTCGAACTTTTCCACATATGCCTTTGGTTGCTGCTTGAGCACTCTTTCGCCTTCGTTAAGTGTTTTTGAACGCTGGTCGAGTCTATTATCCCTAATGGCGCAATATAGCCCTGCTGTGGTGTTCCCATATGGACTAGAGGCAATGAACTTGTCCTATACAAGCGTGGTACCAATTTCCTGACCACAAGGAATGATGGACTTGCCGACTCTGCCGCAGAGCCAGACCAGGACCTGGGCAGTTTGATCCGCCAGGGTAACTAGCCGAATCACTACCATTGCTCCTCCAGCTCTCTATTAAAATTGCTCCACTGAATTTCAAGTTATTGAGGAAACTGGATTCTCAACAATAGCAAGAAACTTTGTGTTTGGTTTCCCTCAAACGTGTTCTCATCCAGTACCGTGTTTCCCTGATGGTCTTATTTCTCTAAGTGGATGTTAAACAACAAATTATTTCACAATTACTCGAAATATAAAAATATTGGTTTTCGGTTGAATCTTAACACGTATTCTTTCACTGACAAATCTACAGGAGGTTGATGAACAACTTTATTCGGTTAACGTTTCGACGACTTTGTCTTCATCAGGGCCGGTGATTCGAGCCGTTGCCCCATAGTTGTTAGTCTTCTCGAGGTCGCATCCTCGTTTTCGTATCGAGTCGGGCCTTCCTCAGTGGAGCATCTCTCGAATGAGCCAATCTCACCCAACGATACTGTTTTATACAGGACGATGGTTGTTGATAATAGTGATTTCCCAGTGATACCGACTTGTTTTTCCGAACAACCCATCCTGCATAAGTCTATCATTGTCAACTAGCACAGAGCATAACAATGTAGCATAGAATAGAACAACTGTGGACCATCGACTCGGATCAGTGGCTCTGATGAAGACAAAGACGTCGAAACCTTATCCCAATAAAGCTGTTTATTAGCCTCATGTAAGCTTATAGATGAAGGAATAAATGTTGATTACTCATACCGAGGTTGAAGGAAAGTCTCGATTTTATAATAATGTCATTTAACCACAACGTTGCTGAGATATTTGCAAAACTCTGGACCGCAGGTGTATATGGTGGGGAACGAACGCGCTATTGTCCTTTCCGGGGAGTAACGTGTTCACCACCACACCATGCGGGTCCTTCGTTTCGCTTGTCTCTCAGCTATTTCTATCGATCTTTGCCGCAGCTATCACCCGTCAGCGGGATTGATCTGGGGCGCCCAAATCGGCATAGAACCCAGTTAAGCTGCGGCTGTAGTTGAAATCACAATGTTATACCTTTTTATTTATAACAATGTAGCATAGAATAGAACAACTGTGGACCATCAACTCGGATCAGTGGCTCTGATGAAGACAAAGACGTCGAAACCTTATCCCAATAGAGCTGTTTATTAGCCTCATGTAAGCTTATAGATGAATAAATGTTGATTACTCATATCGAGGTTGAAGGAAAGTCTCGATTTTAAAATAATGTCATTTAACCACAACGTTGCTGAGATATTTGCAAAACTCTGGACCGCAGGTGTCTGAACTCATCAGTGAGGCCTCTATAGCTCAGTGGCATGCGGCAAAGATCGATAGAAATAGCTGAGAGACAAGCGAAACGAAGGACCCGCATGGTGTGGTGGTGAACGCGTTACTCCCCGGAAAGGACAATAGCGCGTTCGTTCCCCACCATAGACACCTGCGGTCCAGAGTTTTGCAAATAACTCAGCAACGTTGTGGTTGTATTTCGCTTAGTACCCTGCCGCGAAATTATAATAGGCAGAAAATAAAAAGGTATAACATAATGTCATTTACTTGCGTATAATATGCTAGTAGGCGACGATTTTTACCATTATTATAAAATAATGAAGTGTGCATTGGTTTCAATGCATATGATGCAAAAATGGTGGAAACTTCCAGTTATCACCACCAACCATACTTAACAAAGTCGAATACATGGCGCATTCCTCATGGATTCATCAACGCGGAGAACCTTATGCTTTTATCCTTTACCGTTCGGGAGATAAGAGAAGAGGGCTCCTTGCATGGATCGCGTTATACAAACCACCTAACTACACCAGTTAGTGAAACATTGTCAGTACTTATCAAAAGACTGCCAACGATTCCTGTTTGTTATTACTCTTCACCTCACTCCTTCATCTTAACTATTGAAAATAATCATTTCAAAATCAAATCATCAGCACTTCTATGAAACATGAAACGTTCCTTTGAAATTTGTTTGCATCGAATTGTTTTAAGTATTCTTGATTTTCTACATTGACGCTGTACATCAGTTTCAAAGTGGAGGACGAACTTAGTATCAAGGAAGATCTTTTAATGTTTTTTATCTACTGCCTACTAGAGTTTTCACGGCAGGGTATTATTCGAAATCAACCGCAGCAATGCTGAGATGCGTATTCTTTCTTTGATGAGCTTACTCGAGGTTAATAAATATATTTATCAACTCGTGTATAATGCTGAGATATTTGCAAAACTCCGGACCGCATACACCTGCGGTCCGGAGTTTTGCAAATATCTCAGCATTATATACGAGTTATATTTCGCAACATACTCTGCCATTAAAAAGAAAAAGGCAGTAAATAAAAGGGTTAAGATACTTATCAACCTCGTAAAGAGCGCGTGTGGCGCAGTGGTTGGAGGCGCCACTGCGACACACAAGTGTAATCGATCTTAGTGCCCACGGCTCACCAAACCTTCCATCCCTCCGGGTTCAGCAAATTGGTACCAGACTTGTCTGAGAGGAGAGCAGCACTGGCTCGTTGCTTCGCTAGGCCACTGCGAGTCATTGTGATGGTCAGATATGCGTTCAATCACCTCCAACGATACTCAATGAAGTGGA